AATATGGTTTTACGCCTACAATATTAAGATGAAAGAATTAAAAATGCATATGTGTTAAAAGAATGTGTAGTTTCAGATAATGATTTTGTTTTTATTTTATGTTTTGTCAAATATTTCATCCTCTTTTTTTCCTTCACCACTCATTTAGGAATATGGATATATGGAAATAAAAATCAATCAGATAATAGTGCTTGTGATACCTTTCTTTTTGTTTTTTTTTTAATATTTATAAGCAAAATTAATGCCATGTTTTATACACACATTTTGAAACTATATCTGTTGATTTGTTCACGAACAAGCATGTATTCATCCTAATTAGGATTCTATTTTATATTTGTTCTCTTTCTATGAATTAATAATTCCTTGTCTATGTCTGAGAAAGAAGGATTTGAATGACAGAATTATTGCTACTGGTAAAGTAAATAATATACTTAATGGTCAAAGTATTGTATCTTCATTGATCTGTTGCTAGAAGGAATTTCATATGTCAAGCCATTTAAACTTTGTGAATATGCTTAATTTGTTCCTTTTGGCTTTTACTTTGGATATTTTTCACTGATTTAAATTAGTTATTCTTATCAGTAAATAGAGTTTATATGTCAACAGTGTATTTTCTTTGTTTCTATTTTGTCCTTAGCCTTTTTTATTTTGTACTCTAGGGCAATGTATTTTATTTATTAATAGAAGAATTATAGAACTAAAAGTATTTCATGTTTGATCAGTTTCTGCAAAAAAATAAATAAAAATAAAAATATCATGTTACATTTTCACATATTTTTGACTTCATATTTGAAATTTTTTAAAACTGGCAGTATCAATATCAAAGGTTCCTCAGAGGAATTGATACTTTTTGTCAAGCAAAAAATTCTTTGGAATTTATTGGACATCAATTAAATCAACAGAAAATAATCATTTTATGGCTGAGATTTTTCAAGTGATTTATAGCATTTTGAAGATTTCATTTACTGTGAATTTCTTAATCAAAACATCCCATGCTATTTTTCTACTTTAGCTATTATTTTAAGATACAGTAATTCCTCATGTATTTTATTTTTCAGCTGAAGATAATAACATATATATTTTTAATAATAACTTAATCTCTACAATGGGTATGACATTTGTACCTTAATTGTCAAATAAATGCCATCATTTAGCAGGACCAGTTTCTTGGCCTCATTATATTCATTTTAGACATTAAACAACTTTATGTAACCTGTGATATTACAGGTAGGTATTTGAAAAATAAATGCATAGTCAAGTGATGAAAAAAGCATTTATTTTTCAGATATAATCTTCCTTGCAAATGTACTTAACCCAATGCTTCTCCATCGATCACATAGACTGAACTTTAGACTGCAAAAATTTCACCTCAGTTAACTGTGTCAGTCTGCAGACTTAGTGATCCACCTAAATGTGAAAATTTTAATTCAATTTAAAGATATATAAAGACTTCAAATTATGGCTGTGGTAAAAAAAAAATCAATAATTATGGTTGTATTTTAGTGCCAACTGCATTTCAATCTGGTATACATAGGTAAAGTTTTATTTTTTCTTATCATTACTCACCGAATTTGCTGCTACTTCCCTAGAGTCATCTTCTGCACTAACAAAGGAAAAAAATGACTGTTTGGTAAAAACTGATTAAGCAATAAATTTTGCAATATAATTGTACATATAATCTCAATCTGGGAGCTGTACATTAAAAACTAGGAAAAAGGTATAGTCAGTAGTCAGGAATTAATGCATGTATTTTTGGCAGACTGAATAAGGTGGACATGTATTATTCATTATACATCAGTTAAGAGAACAGAAAATATATTTGAAAATGTATTTTTAATTAAATTTATCAGTTACAATTTAATGATATATCATAAAAAAATTATTTTATAGTAAAATATTCATATCGATGTTCACCTGTATATTCTTTGTTCTAAACATTACCAATAACAAATTTGTTTAATTAATGTCTATATAATTAATACAAATACTTTTTAAAAATGGTACATTTTGCAGGTATTTATTCATTCTAACTGTACTAATAAACAGGACTGTGCTAATATATTTGCTTATTCATGTCTCAGAAAATGTATTAAACCTTGAAATATAATTGTGGAAAAGTTGTTAAAGAATCCTGAATATATTTAAAAGCTTTCTCGTTGACTTGGATATTATAAGGAAATTAAATTAGTTTATAACATTTTTGTTCTAATTTTTATCTTGATGTTTTTCTGTTATTACAGACAATATGAGAAATTCAGGTCAAAGAAACTTGTTGAAATTTACTTTCAAATAATATTTTTTTATATGGAAAAAAAAAACGGTGAGAAAACTTTTTGTAGTGTACTCTAGATATAAATATCTCTATGGAGAGGCTCAAGAGAGTGAATGCTGATAACTTAGGGCAGCAGGAAGTGAAGTAACTAAGTCATAAAAAAAATAAGAGCCTTGTTTCACTCAACTAAGCCTCTAAATATAACCTCTGCAGATTACCTAATATTTTGCTGATTAGTGAATGTGTTTTGTAAGCAGAAATAACTAAACTTATCTTTGTTTATCACAAGGTCAACTAGTGAAATAGTGGGTTAGAATAATGTGCCATTCTTCTCAGTAGGAGGACTTTCTAGGCCTGAAAATAATGTTGAAATCCTGGTTTTACCTGGGCATAAACACTAATTACAAATGTCAATGGTAAATATACAACTCTCTCAGCTCTAAGACAAAACTACGAGGTTTGTAGATAAATTACTTTATTGGTTACTCAAAATAAAATGAACATGTAAATTTAAAAAAAACAAGTTGTCATGGAATTAACACACTTTATTTAAAAGCCCATAACAAAACAGTAATGAAAAAAGATAGCTAAATGTTTATTTATTCTAATATACATGTTAGTTTATACTCTTTTCTTCACTTCTATCTGTTTAAAAATGCTATAACACATAGTTGTTTGCCAACCTGACCTTTTCCCATTCTTCTGCAGCCTTTGTTTATTCTCTTTATGCCACATTCTCTATCATCCCTGCCTTCTTTACAAACATTATTACAATGTGACATTCTTTTCAATGCACTCTGCTTTGAGCAATAACCTTTCCAGTTTCACAACTTTCATTTTTGGATGGAGTGTGAAAGCTAAATTTATTATAAACTCTTGAGATACTTACCACCTCAACTTTTTTCTGAAAAAAAAAAATCATTTTTAAGTTGAATATCAAATAGAGAAATCAAACAATTTTAGGAATGAAACTATACTCAACAACAACAAATCTCATCTACTATTTTTCCAATGAGGACATTTACAAAATTTTGACTTTGTGATTTGTCTGCAAATCAGTATCAGCTTGAATATTGGTTTGCAAAAAGGACTGTAGCCATTTCTTTGAAGTTTTTTCCAACTAGAAATGAAAACTGTATTTGAAACAGACATGTAAAAAAAGAAAGAAAGGAAATAGGTTTGTAAGTATAATAAGAAAAAACATCCAAATATCAATTTATATTAGACCTTTTATTCATATTGCTTAGCATACGGCCAAAGATAAATGGAACCTATGTATTATGATTAGTCTTCTGTATATTCTGTGGGTGGAATATTTCCTCAGATTGCTATGCAACTAATTTTGCTCTATAGATTTTTTTGCATAATTTTGTCATTCAGTGAGTAATCAATCAAGCTACACATGCAGTCAATAACCATCAATAACAGTTAAAGAAAAGTGAGTAAGAAAAGAATATAATTGTATATTTAGTAGTTTTGGTCTCATTTACTACAAGAAAACTATTTATATTTCTTATAAATTTTTTTCCAATACACTATTTTTAAAAATTATGTTATAATTAAAATATTTTTTATATATATATACGACACAGCGGTTGGACGTTAGAATTAAACAACACGTACCTGCTATAATACTGAACAAAAAATTTTCTTTGGACGATACCATTCGTAACACATATGGTTCTTCGATTGCAGATCACTTTATAAAGAATCCTACTTGTGTGATGGATTTCAGTGTGAACTGGTTTTCCGTTTTGGCCAGTTCGCACTCATTATTCCATCTTAAGGTGTTGGAGTCGCTTTACATCAGGTCCAGGTAACCTGCTCTTTGTAAACAAAGAGATTGTTTGCTTGGACTTGCTGTGCTGCGCTTCTAGCATCTTGGTTGGTATAATTTTTTTATAATATTTTTTTTTTCTCCCTGTCCACTCATTCATGTCATCCATGACAGACTTTTTTCTTTTTCTAATAATTTTAGTTCACCGTTAACAGTTCTGATGAGAGGGGACGAAACTGGTCGACTGGTGTGTGTTTTGTTTTAAATCTATCATGGCCGACAATATAAAATTTCTTGTTTTTAATGCCTTAATACGCTTTTGTACCGTTTCAAACATATTTATATAGATATATATATACATACACTTGATCATAACTGTTTATCTCTGTAATTATGTTATATATAAGTGTTTGCATCTCTCTAAAGTATTTGGTCTCAACTACCTTATGGTTGATCATACTTATTTTCAACTGCCATACACTTGATCATGTAATTAATATCAAGAAATCTCTTATATATTCTGTCAGAACAGAAAATATCTATGCTATTCAGTGAACATAACAAAATGCTGAGACCATGTTTTTGACAAAGTTGTAATATATTCACCAAAATATTTAACCATGAAAGTGTTTCTATAGCATTTCCATTGCAAGAGCAGTGACATATACTAAAGTGGAAAAAAATGAGATAACAGTGCATTAAATGATTTTATCCTTCCCCACTTGTATAAATCAGCTCAGTCAAGTGACATATGTATGACATAATAGCAAAAGAGAAATTGAAGCTGTGGTAGTAACAGTATGTGAACAGAATTTAAGAATGATTATTGAGGCCAAAAAGAATGGACACTTTATCTTTGAAATAGTGACTGCTCTAGGTTTTTCTAGAGCAACAATAGTAAGTGTATAATAGGGATATATGAATTCTGGATAGACATCAGTGGTATGTGAA